GGTTTTTATATAGGTACTAAAGAGATTTTATAGAATATAGACTTCTTGAGCGATCTAAAAAGCAAAATGAATACTTTAATACCCAGGGTACCAAAAAAGTGTCCCAGAACTCCCAATTTCGCCCTACTAATGGCTATAATGATTAAAGTAAAAGAAATCAAAGCCAAAATTACAAGGAAAAGACCAAAGTCGGAACGACAAAAGCAATTGTATAAGTCAAAGCTTAAGAAGGAAAAGCCAAGACAATTAGTGAGATAAAGTTTATGGACGAAACACCAAAAGATTTTAGAACAAGAATAGTATTCAAGGATACTTCCCTTACGTAACTAGGTTATAGAGAATAACCGAAAGAAAGAAAAAGTTTTTGTTGAAATACTATGAAGTAAAAGAAACTGGACCAGCAATATTTTTTGGAACAAAAATAGGCAGCAAAATGTTTAAGTGGACTAAACTAGCTATTACAACATTTAAGTGTAATTTGAAAGTCTAATCAAAGAGATCAACAAACAAACAACAAGTGGAATTAAAAGTGATGAAATAAACTTTAGTGATCGACACTTATACAACAAAGTATTAAGAAAAGTCTGTTATAGAGAAAATAGAACAATAGGATACTTATGTCATAACCCAGAAAAAAGTGACAGACTTGAACAAATAGAACACATTTGACGGAAAAATTATCAAAGTGACAGATTTTCGGCATAAGGATCAACAAACAAGCTTCAAGATTTTTCACTAGAAGACTATTAACCTCAAAATATCGTCATAGCAAAAGCAAAAGTAAAAGCAACATACTTGGAAAATTCGTATAAATTAAAGAAAAATAGAATTTTTTTTATTTTCGTCTCTCTCTCAATTTTTGAAATATACATGAATCCATTTATTACTAAAAACTTTAAAATTTTAGAAATTACAGCTGAAAAAGCGTAAAAACTTGAAAATACTGAATTTTTTTTTTTTTCTTCTCTACACAACACCCAAACTGAACGAACAAAAGAATTCTACAAGCGCTAAAGATGTGAAAAATACTTTTGGTTTAGGATCACAAGGATCAAAACGATCACCCTCTCCACCGAAACTCACCGACCCGAAAGAAAGTCTTACATTGGCAAAAGTACCTGCAAAAAAAGACGTTATAATGGACCCGATGCAGCTTCTGATAAGCTGACTAAATTCTTTGAAGATGCAACAAAAAGGATTATTATAGCCAGTAAACCAGACCAAAAAGAACTGAACCTCATTACAATCAGGAAATTTCATGGACAGGAAGACGACGACCCACTTGAATAGTTAGAAATGTTCGAATAAGCTGCAGCAACAAACAATTGGAATAATGAAGGAAAGATAACAATTGCCACCAGATATCTAAGTGACCTTGCAGCTGATTAGTACCGAAAAAACAAAGATGACATTAAAAAGTGAAACGATAGAAACAATTCAGATAAAAGTTTTTTCTACTTACTCTCAACATTCTTTGCAACACCTGACCGACACCACTGTTGGCAGATAGAATTAAACGCCTTAGCACAAAAACCTGGAAAAAAAATTGACTCTTACGCCACAAAGTTTAAAAGACTTTTGCGAAGAGTTGAAACTAGCGGAAAGTTACCTGCTCCATACGTCATACGAATATTTCTCAGTGGTTTAAATGGTAAGATGGCAACTTACGTTACTATGACTGCCCCTACATCACTTGACGCCATGATTTCTTGTGCCAAGAAGGTCGAAGCCGGAGAATACTACGGACAGCAGACGCCATATCAACCTCAAAGCACTGTAGGCGATATGGAAATCCTAATAAAAGCAATGAATGAAATGTCGATTAATTATGCTAACATGGTGACATCGACCACGTAACAAAAAAATTGGAACCAAAGAAAATCTTACAACAATAATCAGTTCAATCAAAGGAACCAAAGTAACTAGAGAAACCAGTGTCCACGAAATCCTGACATTGTTTGTTTTAATTGCAGCAAGAAAGGTCACATTGCACGAAATCGCACACTTTCTAAAAATAATCAAGCACAAAAATATGAATATAACAAAAATTTTTAACCAAAGAAAGTTAATTATTGTGAAACAACTGAAAAGATCGATGATAACGCTGTATGGGTTGAAGAATTATATAATATAGACCAATCATCTACTGAAAAAAGAAGAGGCCGCCCTAAAAATTCAGTGAACAATGCAAATAATCAATAACGAAAAAGAAAAAGAATAGTTTCTTCACCTCCGGCAAATTTCGACGAGGCTATGGCTCCGAAAAATAACATTGCAATACTTCTCTCTGGCCCCAAAACTTTGAATAAACCTAGGCAAAAAAGGGGACCATCGGTTGTTGATAAACTAGAACCATACAACATTGCCAATCATATTCTAACCATGAAAGTGAATGCTATATTTGGACAACTCCTACAATACCCAAACCAACATAGGAACGTAGCAAAGGTTATGAGAAGGCCACCTAATCCAAAAGAAGCAAACTTAGTAGACCCACAACTTACTCAACGTACCACAGCTGCGAAATGTTACGTTAATATCGGTGAAGATCCCATGATTGCTGTTTTAGATACAGGAGCAGCCATAAGTATCATTACGAAAAGATTGGCTGATCGATTGGGACTCAGAATTAATAAAGAATCAAGGACCATAGTTGTAACTGCAACAGAAACAAGAGAACGTACCTTAGGAAAAATCATGAAAGTCAATATTGATATTTCAAATGTAAGAATATCTACGGCACTTCAGGTCCTGGAATTGGTGGACGAAATATTGTTATTAGGAACCGATTGGTTCCAAAAAGCTAGAGCTATGTTGGACTTTGACGAACAAAAATTGGTTATCAGATATTTAGAAAAAAGGTTTGAAGTACCAATCATACACACAGATAAATGCAAGCAAAAACAACAAATACCGGAAGAAGCTGAATCATATGACCACTATGAAGATGATGTTGATGAAATATTTGATGAACTTGAATATGAAAGCAAAGAATTGGAAGAGCTCGAAAGTTTCTCATCCGATTGTATCTCATCTGATGAAGAAAATATATTAGAAATAAAAAAGGATACAAAATTAATAGAGATCGAAAGTCCAGCAGTATTAGTGTTCCTATGAACCGAACTGAAACCGAACTTTGGTCAAGTTCAGGTTCATGTTCAATATTGAACCTTCAAGTGAGGTTCATGTTCAGTTCAGTTCAGTATTGAACTTTTAAGTCAAGTTCATG